GTGAGTACTCTGACTTTGGCTTTGATTTCGACTTTGAATGAGCCTCTTGAACCGCGAGTAACAGGGTCGGTGGTTCTCTCGATCGCCCGCCATTGTTCGCCTTACAAATTAGCAACACGAACGCAAATATGAATATTACAATAGGATTGCTAAAGTAGGGAGGTGGAATGACATGATGAATATATGTATCAGGGCTGGGGTGGGGAGGGAAGGGGGAGGAGAAAGGAGAGGGATAAAGGAAAGGGGAGGAGGAGAGGGAGAAGGGTGGGGAGGGAGGGAAGAAAAAGAGGGTAAAGGAGAGAGAGAGAGAGAGGAAAGAAAGGAGGGTATAACGAGGCAGGGAAGAAGAATGAGGAAAGAAAAAAGTGGGGGGATAAGAAAGACTCGAAGAAAGGAGGGTGTGATGAGGACAGGGAGTGACAAACGAAAGCGAGAGAAAGGGGAAAGGGAAAATAGACGAGTTCAAATGGAAAGAACGAAAAGAAAAAAACGACAAGGAGGACAAAAATGAGATACGTTATGAAACAGCGAAAGTGAAATCAGCCCGGACATTAGAGGAGGCAGAGAGGAGCGCTAAGATCAATGAAAGTGACAGCGCGCGAGAGACGAAGAGCTTGGAAGGGGCAGCCGGCAGTGACAGCGCCAACGTAAATCCTGTGCTTGTAGTTTACAGTGTAAGAGAGGGGGTGGGAAGGGAAGGGGGGGCAGGGAGGAGGCAGGGCGAGGCCGAGAGTGATGGCTGACAGGTGTGGGAGGCAGGAGGGGCGAGAGGAAGGGAGAAAGGGGAGAGGGGAGGGCGTGGGAAGGGGAAGAGCAGGGGAAGGGGTGTGAGGAGGATAGGGCGAGAGGGGAAAGGGATGAGAGGAAGGGAGACGGGGATAGGGAAGGGGTGCGATGAGAGGGAGGAGAGGAAGGAAGGGAGAAACGAAAGAGAGAAGGGGGGGGGCGAGGGGAAAGGCAAAGGATGTCAGAGGGAGATCGAGATCTGTAGAGGGACGAATGAAAGGGGATTTCGAGAGAGAGGAAGGGCGAGGGTGAAGAGAGAGAGAGAGGAGAGAGAGGAGAGAGAGAGAGAGAGAGAGAGAGAGAGAGAGAGAGAGAGAGAGAGAAGAGAGAGAGAGAGGAGAGAGAGAGAGAGAGAGAGAGAGGGCGAGGGGAAGAGAGACAGACAGAGACAGAGACAAAGACAGAATATGGGAGAGAGAATGGGAGAACGAGGACGAGAAAGAGAAAGAAAAAACGAGAGGGAAAGGGAGGGAGGACGGGAGGGAGGAGATGGAGGGAGGGAATGCCCGGCTGTCAACTGGTACTCTGAAGCGGTGTGAGTGACGGGGTAAGAGAGAGAGGCCGGTGGGTTTGGCCACCTGAGAGCGCCAGAGAATAACGGGGGAACTTGGAGAGAAAAGAAAGGGATTTATGTATAGCCTTTTTTTTCCTTATTGTTTTTCGTGTGTTTATATATAGTCTTTTTTTTCCTTATTGATTTTCGTGTGTTTATGTATAGCCATTTTTTTCCTTGTTTTCCGTGTGTTTATGTATAGCCATTTTTTTCCTTGCTGTTTTTCGTCTGTTTATGTGTAGCCTGTTTTTTTCCTTATTGTTTTTCGTGTGTTTATGTATAGCCATTTTTTCCTATTGCTTTTCGTGTGTTTATGTATAGTCCTTTTTTCCTTATTGTTTTTCGTGTGTTTATGTATAGCCTGTTTTTTTTTCTTCTCTTGCTTATTGTTTTTCATGAACGGTGGATCTCTTATTTCAAGGCGAGTCTGTCATAGCATTGAGAATTCGTTTGTCATTTCCTCAAGTCGATTGTACACGCTAAACAATTCCGTTTTTTTTTTTCTCTCTCTCTCTTTTTTAAGGGGGAGTTATTTTATTATCACCACAAGAAGGACGCTTTCTTGTATATTTTCTTATATATCTCTATATTCCCGAGGAGATACAACGCAGATTTCACTCTTTTAGCGCCCCAGAATTCCTATTATTCCAGCTCTGCCATCTGTCAAAGCCATCTGCCAGAAGGGGAGTATCGAAGAGAAATATTTGAATTGATTCGGACGCGCGACGCGGGGTTGATTTACGGGCAGGGGAGGGGGGGGCGAGGGGGGACTTGGATATTGATGTGTATTTATGTACATGTATATGCGTATATATATGTGTGTGTGTATATATATATATATATATATATATATATATATATATATATATTATATATATATATATATATTACATACACACACACACACACACACACACACACACACACACACACACACACACACACACACACACACACACACACACACACACACACACACACACACACACACACACACACACACACACACACACACACACACACACACACACACACACACACACACACACACACACACACACACACACACACACACACACACACACACACACACACAACAACACACACACACACACACACACACACACACACACACACACACACACACACACACACACACACACACATCTATATCTATATCTATCTATCTCTATCTATCTCTCTATCTATCTATCTATCCTATCTATCTATCTATCTATCTATCTCTATCTATCTATCTATATATATATATATATATCTATATATATATATATATATATATATGCATATTATATATATGTATATTTATTTATTTATTTTATTTATTACTATATGTACATACATATATACACGTAGTGAGAGAGAAAGAAAAGAAAAATGAAAATGAAAAAGAATTAATTGAAAAAAACGAAGCGAAGCGCAAGAAAGAAAATAAAACGACGAAAGAAAGAAAGAAAAAAAAACCGTCGAACGAGAGCGGTTCCCAGCACACCCAGTCCATCTCGTCGAACCAGACGGAATCGTGACTGAACCATAGGGGGTTCGAGTCTACGCATTTCACAAGAGGTTTTTTTTACGATGGCTGGGGTGGTGTTTTGCCGGACTCAAGGTTCTTCTCGTCATTTACCTGCGATCTTCTCTGGTCGACCTGAACGAAAGGTTTCCTGTTGGAGTGTCTGTGTGGGGTGGGGTGGGGGGTGTAGGGGTGTGTGGGGGGGTGTTAGAGGTGTGTGTGGGGTGTGAAGGGGTGTGGGGGGGGTTGGTGTGGGTGTGTGTAGTGTGTGTGTGTGTGGGTGTGTGTGTGTGGTGTGTGTGTGTGTGTGTGTGTGTGTGTGTGTGTGTGTGTGTGTGTGTGTGTGTGTGTGTGTGTGTGTGTGTGTGTGTGTGTGTGAGAGTGAGAGAATGGTGGGGTGTGGGTAGGTTTGAGTAAGCGAATTAGTTTGTTTCTCTTGTATTTAATTATTTTTGTTTGTTTTATTCATTGTTTACTTTCATTTGTTTGCCGACATACACTCGACATACATACACATGGATTGCTCACTTGGATATCCGGTTGAGTATTGCATATGTAGCTTGCATAAAAGCAACACCATGTATGGCATGCAAGTTGTTTTCAATATCCGGGTTTTGCGTTCCATATTTACCTCTGAATATAGATCAACAAAAAAAGAAAAAGAAAAAAAGAAAACAAGAAAGAAGAAAAAATGAAGCAAGCAAATAATGATTCACTTCCGGTTCTTTGGGAATTTCTACTTCCGTTTCCCAAATCTCGGTATCCGGAGTTTCATTCCACGAAAGATCGATACCAACTCTTGTCTGTCAGAGAGGGGGAGAGAGAGAGAGAGAGAGAGAGAGAGAGAGAGAGAGAGAGAGAGAGAGAGAGAGAGAGAGAGAGAGAGAGGAGAGAGAGAGAGAGAGAGAGAGAGAGAGAGAGAGAGAGAGAAAGAAAGAAAACTATTTAGGCAAACTTGCGAGAAATCTGGTCGTGATGATAGGTAATGATGATGATAGACATTGAAGTTGGAAATGACTCCCGTTCAAACGAAGCCGTTTCAGCGTCTTGCATAAATCCGGCGAGAAACGATTTTGACGTCACAAGGTTCCTCTCGACGTTCCTCTTGACGTTTCTCCTGGCGTTCCTCGTGGAGCTCCACCTAACGCTTCTCTTGACGTTTCCCCTGACGCTCCTCACGACGTTCCTCTGACGTTTTGACGTTCCTCTTGCCGTTTTCCCAGGCGTTCCTCGTGGAGCTCCTCTTGCCATTCCTCTTGACGTTTCTCCTAACGTTCCTCGTGTAGCTCCATCCAACGTTCCTCTCAACATCCCTCCCGACGTTCCTCGTGACATTGTTCCTGACGTTCTCAACGTTCACTCTGCCGTTGGTCGCGGGGCGCACCGGCGAGGCAACGTTCCGTCTCCCTAACGAAGGGTGAACGACCTATGCCGAGGCGGGTGTGGGAACGTGCCAAGGCGTGGCGGCGTTCCGTGCCAATTCTTAGGCCTCAGCCGATTCAACGTGACCGCTACGGAGCTGGCTGCATCCTGGGCCTCTTTCTGCCTTCCTGCGCGGGATCTTGGGGTAGGCCTGCCTTGTATTTGTTTGCTTTTAAGGTAGGTAGGCCTAGTTATTATTATTTATTTTTTTTATTCTTTATTTGGCTTTCGGGTAGTCTTGGTTAGAATTTACTTTCTGTTTTTATATTATTTTTGGGTGTAGGCCTCACAAGACCTTATTGCCTATTAGCTTTTTGTGTCGGGTCCACAATCCCGCCGTTTTTTCCCTTTTTTTTTAGCCGAGTCCCAAAGCTAAAGACGGAACAGCATCGCACCGTCACCCAGCCAGATATCCATTACCTGTCCATAATGATGAATGATCCCCCCCAACCCCACCCCACCCCCATGAAACGAGCGCGAGTTAATTATCTTCGTTAATGACCCACGGAGTTGCCAACGAGCGACACGCAGCAGAGCAAGCAAGCATCAAGCAAGCAAAGCAGGCAGAGCGGGCAAGGCAGCCAACGCGGGGGGGGGGGAGAAATATAAAGTGTATATGGCAACCTTCCGAAGCCCGACGGAGGCAGCGCGAGTGAGTGCCAGCGAGGGTACGCATCTGTTGGGGGTGGGGGTGGGGGGAGGGGAGTG